AAAAAAAAAAAAAAAACAAACAAACAAAAATACAAAAATATTTAGCTTTAAGAGGGTTAGGCCTACCCTAAAATTAAGGAACGCTCGACCTCGACACGTGATATCGAAATGGGCGAAATCGCCTCTTGATATCACTAACTCTCCTGACTCCTGTTTAAGTAAAAATTTTTTCATTGTATCCTTTTAAAAATTATACAAAACATAATTCCAGCAAGAATCTCATCAGGGCAGCAAAAAAGATGTAGTCTGAACCTTTTCAAGCACTATTAGAACAGTAAACCAGAGAAATGATGTATCTTATTCATAATAAATTAAGCAAAGGATCAGCCAACTATCACCTTTCATAAAGGTCTCATCAGTTGTTGCCTATTCCTGTTTCCTATGAATACATTCAAACATTTGTTTCAGTGGTTCCTTACCTCCAAAGCCACCAGTTTGACTTGACTGTCCAAAAGGCCTTCTTCCACCTCCTCCAGCACCTCCACCAGCACCTCCCCTGGGAGAACGGTTTTCAAATGGGATCTGAGACATAGCCAGCTGGATGTTCATTGGCCTTCCATCCAAGGGAACCCCATTGTACTGCTTCATGGCTTTGATGGCATCGGCTCGACGCATAAAGATCACATCTGCCGTGCCAAGGGATCGACCCGATCGATCATAGTGTACGGCTGCTGACTTCAGTGCCCCAAACTCGGCAAACAACTCTTGGATATCAGAATCAGAGACACCAAAATCCAGATTGGAGACTAGGAGCTTGGCTGGGCCACCTGTTGCTGATCCACCACCTCCTCTTCTTCCTCCAAGTTGGTCTCCCTCAAACAGGTCATGCTGCCACCTGCCATATCAAAAATTAAATTCAAGATGCAAAATCCAAAATCATTGCACTTTTTTGGTGGGAACTGCATGAAATATATATAACTCAAGGGGATAATATTAACCCATTTGCTTACTTTGGAATCGACAGCCTGACATTACATGCACTTGGCTCATCTAATCCTTATTTAAATGATCTTGTGTCAACTTGTCTACTGGTGTGATTTATGTCCAACATGACTGGATTTAGTTGGCATTTGTGGGTAATTATTAGCATGTATCACTAGTCAATTTTCATCAAATTTAATGGTATTTACTGGTAGCTCAAGTAAAAATAATTGGTAAGCTAATGGGTTAAAGCATTTAAAACAAATGAAATGAGTTTTCAAATGTATATCATGTCTTGGAGAAACAGAGGAATCCTGAATGAAATCATTACCTCTGAAATGATTGGAATGATTGAAATCATTACCATTTCTTATGTCATACATACCCTGGATGACCTTGTTTACATCAGCCGACCTCACCTGGTTCATATCCATCCCATGGGATGGATATGAGGTGATGCTACAGTGCTGCACAGCCTAACTGAGTGGATTTGGAATGAGGATTTAGAGACAAGGCCACTTACAGAGGATCAGTTTCTCACAGTAAAGAGCATGAAACTTTTTTCTATCCATCCTCCTAACTTGTTCAATTCAAACCATTATGCTAGCAATTCAATGGAATCCACTCAGCTTCATAACTTTTAGCAAATTCAACCAACAGCTTGTAAATGGATATGGTAAAAGTTGGTTGAAAATGTTCCATTTTTCCCATGCTTTATTTCCAGGTTCAGACAATAATGCTACTGGTCCTACATTTTCAACAACTTTCCTATTTTGGACAAGTTAGGATAAAGCCTGCTAGGAGGGTGGTTCAACAGGGTGGTCCTACAGACTTGCAAACACTGTACCTGTTTTGCTGGGACCTGCTATAATCCACTGCTACTTTTTGGAGAAGTAGAGGCATATGTAGATTGGAGCATGAGAGGAATATAAGGTAAGGAAGTCAAGTTAAAGCAGACTTTATTTTCATTCCACTGAGGGACTGAGAATGATAATACTGTATTCCTACTAATATGAGTGACCAAATTGGGGCATCCATTATTCAAACCTGTACTTGTTTTCCATAACTGACTCTTGTAATATATTAGAGGGTTACACTCTACACACAAGAATATTTCAGATGGAAAAGCGATTCAAAGAACTGTGGAAAGAAAGGAAAATCAAGGGAGAAAATAAAATTCTTACACTCCACCAATATTTCCTCGGGTATAGGGCTTGGCAGTGTTACGCCTGATGCCTCCACCTCGGGTTTGCCTCAGGGGCCCTCCCCCTCCACCTCCACCACGGCCTCGTTGCACACCTCTTCCCCTACCTCGACCTCGACCTCGTCTAGACTTGGTCAAGCTGATAATGTCCTCTAAACTCATATCCACTTTTGAGGACATCTTGCTTCTTGTAATAATTAATAGTAACACAGGAAACCTTAGAGGGGGATAAGAAGCACTCTTCCTGAAAGATTCAAGTTTACACCACTATACATCTAATGTTGATTGTACAAAAATACTTTTACATCCAAAGCGGTATTTGACACATTTTCAGGACATGATTTTCAAGCATTCCATTTTTGGGATGCTAGTAGATAGTGGGTTTATGTCAGAACCAATGGTCCACGGGACAACTAAATTTAAAAGAAATGTTGAAGGTGGAAGACAGCTACTTATACACTGTCTACTCTACCATGAATCTGCTGTAATATAAGTACACCATGCACACAAATGTTTAGTACTACTCCTGCTTGTGCCTAGACAGCAACCTCCTACCCCTACCAATATACTGGATTTAACTAGCATCTGCATAACTGAAAGTCCCCTTTCCCCCAATTCAAGCTGCTGTTCGTCTTTAATTTGACCATAATTTACTGGTATTTATGAACACTTGCAAGTAGGAACTTTTTTAGGCATGACCATGGAAGGAACTAACGATCAAAAAATCATTATTTGCAACAGGTACCTGAGCAGGAATTGCATGCAAAGTGCAAAAAGTTGCTGGTGATGGCTTAACTCCTTGAACACACCATGTATAGGAGAATTTCCTGCTATCATATACCAGAATTTTGTATTAAATAAAATAATATTTTGTCACTGCCAAAGTTCTCTACTTAAATGGTATTACTACTGACCTTTACTTCCTCTCATGATACTGTTTCCCCCCATGAACACTCACTGTGGGCCTCAAGAGTATTGGTTGCATGATTCATCCATGAGGCATATGGTGCATCATGTATGTTCAAGGGGTTAAAGGGACAAATGCCTACACATTTAGACATGTAATATTTTACCATTAGTTACCATAACAAAAAACCCAGTTACATGGAAAGAAGCACTGACTTGATGGCATCACACAATGATACAGAATTAATCCCACCATAAAACAGAATTAATCCCACCATAAAACAGAATTAATCCCACCATAAAACACAAGTCTCTCAAGGGAAAAGAAATCAGAAAAAGTGATGCAGCAAAATGTAATTTTTTTCTGTGAAGCACTTGTAAAGCAAGCATGTGATATCATGAAAATGCGTGGTTTTGGCTGGGCCACTTGGTACTATTCAAGCCTTCCCCCTAAACAAAGGTTTTTCATTGTCACTTGACTGATTAATACTTTCAAATTAAACTCTCATTGGTCCACACTCCAGTTCTGGAGCTATCTTGCCTCTTGAGAATTCAAATAAGGACAAATGGATCTCAACTAATGTAAACTTGAAATTCTCTAAAAGAAGAGAGCACAGTCATCTACCATTGCATGGCTGTAATGAATGCAAGCCAGCTCCTATGCCTTTGCTAAGATATCCATATAAACCAATAGATCTGTGCTGAATTTCCCAGAACATCCCATAATTTCAGAAAATTCCAAGATCAGCAAACCATACCAGAGAGCTGATGTTACTCAGTCCACCTATTTAAAAAATTAATTTTCCCCAGTAAAAGACTATATGTACCACAATGACAGATTTTATCACTTCAATCCCAGTTTGAGATATCAGGGACGAAACTGTAAATGTGAAACCATGATTCTGCTTTTCCTTGGACCAAGAGGAGGATGAAAAAGTCATAAAATGAAATTATACTTCTTTAATGCTCAGTCTTCCATGGAAGGGACTCCTCTCTGCAACTATTTATCCTCACTTCAACATCCTTAAAAAAAAATTAGCGAATTATTTTACTTAAATCAATGAATACCTCTCACTTGCCTAATTTTACAGTACTACCTGTATCAATGTCAAATTTCATCACACTACTCAATTTCTGAGAAATTTTGAAGTTCTCCCATTCAGCTACAATGTGGTGGAATGATACCAACTGGTTATGTGGTGAGTTTTGTAGCCTATCTGTGTCCTCCATTAGTTTTGAGTTTTATGCACAAGCCAGAAATAAACATAAGAAAAAAATGCCAACAATTCAACAACAAAAAAAAACAACTGCTAGGCAGCTGTAAAACTCAGAACAAATTAAGTTTTAAGTACCAGAAGGAGGCAAGTTAATGAAATGGGAGTAACCCTCATGAGCCAGATATTACTTAGGGTTTATATTGACAGTTGGTCCATTTTTCCCAGCCCTCCCTAGAGCAATTCGATGAAAGCATACTGATGACGTATTGCGCTGGACCACACAGGCAAAGAATTTTCAAAAATGATATGCACTCATAAGTAAAAACAACTGGCAATGCTGAAATTTGGTCTAAAATGAAGTCATACAAGAGGTGAGAGACATTCAGTGCCACCTTTTATTCCTCCTCAGTGTTTCTACTTTTCAGTCTGACAATTTCAAGTTTGGAGCATGTGGAAAAATTCCAAGAACACATACAAAATTACTTACATAAATTATTTAAATGCTGAAAAGAGCATCCAGTTAGGGAAGGCATCACCTGAAACATCAATTACCCCTCTGCTCAAAGTCTCATGTTTATATCTGTGTGTAATTTCAAGGCTACCCTGGTCCCCATTAATGGTTCTGGTTCATGTGAAAAGTATTTGGAGGTGAAACAAAATAACAATAGACAGTAGTATTTTTTAATGCCATAATTTGTACTTATGAACTGACCCGAATACAAACTGTTATGCTTAAAAAATTATGAATGGAACAAGATTGTGCTCACACTCAATAACAGCGGTTTCTTTAAGTATTCATCAGCATTATCTTCCCATCTTGGTGCTTCTGCAGCATGCCTTATGTGGTCTGAGACTGATTAAGCCTAATCTCCTGAAACCACTCGGACAGAAAGTCATATTTTTAACTCTGTTTCAAGAGAGACAAATTCTTTCACACTCAAAAATCAAGAAACAAAAATTTTAATATGCATTTTGGGCCTTCTCTTTATGCTTGATACCATGCTTAGTTTCCTCAATGCCATTAGCACAAATACACTGCATAAGTGGATATTCCAAAAGGAATAAAGCAACTCAAAGTAATAAAGCTTGCCATACAACAGAAGAATTATGTGCAAGTATTACATTCCACTGAGGTAACAAATGGTCCCAGACCTGAAAATGTGTAACTTTTAAAATTGAGAATAGATAGAAACTGAAATCACAATTAAGCGGTAAATTTCTTAACTGACAACTTTCTGTAGTCTACCAGTTGCTGACCAGTCAGAAAAACTTCAAGATTGTGCCTTTATTAGTCACGAAGGGATGAGGCCTGACCTCATGCAGACAATGCTTGCATTCCTGCACTGTGACCTTCCATTTCCACAATGTCCTCGACCCCCAACTGACAATACACCAGAACAAGGCAAAATAAAGCAATATTCTCCTATTTATTTCTTATCATACCACAATCATGTGGTTTTCCTTCTCTTCATTTTCCCAATGCGTTTCCGCACACCAGAGGCTTCTTCAGTGTCATCTTCATCATCCTTGAGTTTGGATCTCTTGTTCCCTTTCTTCTTTTCATCTTTCTCCTTAATTTCCAGTTTTGCAATGCGTTGTGCCTCTGTTACACGGTCACACAACACCATCACCTCCTCCTCCTGTGTCTCCCACAGAGGAAGCTTCATGCTGATCAGATGTTCAATACGTTGATAAAGCTCGACATCATACTGTGTCACAAACGTAATGGCCTTCCCAGATCTCCCTGCTCGAGCTGTTCGTCCCACGCGATGGATGTAGTCTTTGGAATGAGTTGGGATGTCAAAGTTGATGACAACATCTACATGTGGAATGTCCAGGCCTCGAGATGCCACATCAGTGGCTATAAGGATGGCACTGGATTTGGCCTTAAACTTGTTTAGAGAAGCCAGACGCTTTGCCTGAGGCATTTGACCATGTAAGGGGATAGCAGTGAAGCCAAGTGTGCGAAGGAGAATGGCCAGACGTAATGTGTTGTTGCATGTTCCACTGAATACCATCACTGAATTTCCAGCCAATTCATTCAAAACAGACACCAGGTAGACATCTTTAAACTTGAGGGGAATAAACAAATAGAACTGGTGGAGCTTGGCTACTGTCTGATACTTTGAAGAAACCTCTGCTTGGACTGGATTCTTCAGAGAAGCTCGCTGAAGTTTCTGCACTTTTCGGGTCATGGTTGCTGAGAACAAATATGTGTGCCTCTCTCGCGGTATCACCTTCAAGATCTTGTCCAATTCTTGCTCAAAGTCCATATCAAGGATTCTGTCAGCTTCATCCATGACCAGGTACTTCAATGATCGTAAGTTGAAGCCCTTAGTTGTCTCCAAGTGATCTACCAGACGACCTGGGGTTGCGATCACAATGTGAGGCTTTTTAGACAAGGCTAAGGCCTGCGTGACCATGTCAATGCCTCCAACAATGACAGCCACTTTTAAACCCAAGCAAGCACCAAGTGCTTCAAATTGCTCAGCTATTTGAAATGCCAGCTCCCGAGTGGGTGTGAGGACAAGACCAAACAATCTTTGGGGTTTCTCCAACAATGCCTGGAGAATGGGGAGGGCAAAGGCACCTGTCTTACCAGAACCAGTCTCAGCAAGGCCGATGACATCTTGGTTATTAAGGGCTAGTGGGAGGGCCTCCTTCTGAATGGCTGTGGGTTCCTTCCAACCCAGCCGCTCACATGCCTCACAAAGGACATCAACCACTCCAAGATCATGAAATGTGGTTTTTTCTGATTTAGGCTTAGGCCTAATTGCTGTTGATTCCTCTTCTTCCTGCTCATCCATTTGATGAGCAAAAGAAATCAAACCCACCTGAAACATAAGAGTCATGAGACAAGTGCAAAAAATAAACATTTTCAAACTGGCTAGTCAGAGGTTACAATCAATTTTAAGAACAAACCTGACAGCCCATTCTCAACTATTATGTTGAGCTACAGTGAAGTAGGATAGACTTAGTATATTTTCATTTTCACTTTATAGGATTCACTTCTCAAGTATCACCATCAAGTGCAGAATATCTTCATGTATGACACACAGTGTTAATGCAGATGTGAAAGTATCCCTGTACAGCAGGAGTGAAAATCTCAATGGGACATTGTTGCTCCCACACAGAGTTTGCCTTAATGGCTATCTCAAAATTATCCTACTTTATTTTTCTACACATTTATTATGAAGGACTTTCAATTAATTGCAGGGCAAGTAGTTCTAGAATAAAAAACTATTTTTAGAAAAATAATTCCCACTCAAGGATTCATTTGTGTTGCTTCTGCTCAATGCTGGGAAAAGATTCTGATCCCAGCCCAGGAGTCCCACTTCCTTCAGCAGGAAGAAAATAGGACTGTGTTGTATTTCAATGGGCACATGCAGGCACTGCCTCCACTAGGGATGACAATTCAAGGATAAAGGGGAGGAAATGCAGTGTGCATAGAACATTCAGGGAAGGCCAATAGGTGTAGGTTGTGACCTATATTTTATCAAAATTAATTAATATTAGTAAAGCTGACTGAAACATTCACTCTCTTGCACTTCCTCACAGGGCAAGGCCTATAGGATGGGATGTAGACACATGGCAAGGCTGATGCAGGACTGAGTGCACAAAGTGACAGATGCTTGCAAGACATGAAATGCCCTTGAGTAAGGTAAGCTTTGGGTATGTCTACTGTGATCAATGGGCCTTTAGTTTTGCACTGAAAAGGAATGTCTGCATTTCTTCTAATTTTTTGGCAATATGGCATTGTGAAATTTAGATTTAATTAGATATTGGACAATAAATAACAGTCAAAACTTTCAAGTTAGTCCATCCCTACTGACATGTACTTCTCATATAGGTATATACAGGGCAAGTTGTTGCTTAATTACTTGGCAATGGATCATACAGTAAAAACTCTTGATAGCTTATACAGCCATTTCCCTTCCTTCTTTTCATTAACCTCCAGTACCTTATAGCAGGGTTTGGCCCCAAGCTTATCAGCTAAGGCAAGTTTTACTGTATTTAAGTATCCATCTATTTTCATTCACCAGATCTTGAAATCAAATGGCATAAGCCTACTCTGACTAGATTAGGAAAAAAAAAGGTATTCTCTACTTGGGAAATGGTCAATTTAAATTCTTTGGGATTTAAATTTGGATAATTAAAAATTTGTGTCAGCAAGCTGCTTAGCTAAGAAGCATCATAAACCTATCAAGGTTTATGGTTCGTTTTGTCACCACCCCCTATTCCTGGCCTCCAAGTACGCTACATGAAAAGTTGACGAGTCATTGTCTGGCAGCCCATGCACAATCTGTGTACTTGAACACTAACTCTTAGGTCTGGTCGGGAGTATAGGAGTGTTTGAAAGGCAATCTACCTCTCGCGGAGGAAAACAAAATTGAAAAGAGAAGTCCTGACGCCAAGTCCTACAACCGTGCCCCAGCGACGCAAAAATGCGGCACGGCCATTTCTGACGCACGCAGGAGACAGGGTTGCCATGCAATCCATTGCCTCCGATATGAAGTTTTCAAACACAGTGCTTTTCACTTGAGTCAGACAATTTTTCACTTGACTCGGACGCCTGTACATAGGATGTTCCTCATGCACGAGTGTCTGAGTCAAGTGAAAAACTACAGATGACAGTGATCTTCCGCTTGATTCCCATTAGCCCGGGCAGCTTAAGCATCACCTAATCGTCAACGGCATAATATTAATTTCGTACTCCGACGAAATCCTATTTGACTCGAAACATCGAATTCAACTAAGAACAAGCGATCAATGAGAATGCGAAATTATCCGCAACATGAAAGATGCATTCCATAGGGACAGAGACGGAAATATGCCTGATCACTGTCCGCAATACACTTTTGTAACCGTTGACATACGCAAGGGGAGGGGAGCGTTGGGGGCTCAATCGTGGCTGTCCCCCCGCCCCCTTGCTTGTCAGCGTCGCGACAACCCCAGCAAGTCATTCAGCTGCCATTACACTGAGCCCCCTTAAGACCTGTTTGCACTTTACGGGTGGATTTTTAAACAGAGCATTATCCGATAATGCAGCTTTCTTTCGGAAAGAATGCATTATAAATCCGGTAAATAAAGCTGCATTATCGGATAGTTCTCTGTTCAAAAATCCACCCTACGTCTCTTGCATGTGATGTGATGCGTACGATATAGATATGCATGCAGGAAGCTCAAGGTTAACACTTATGTCTCCGTCGATTCTGATAGAAACCCAAACGCGTCTAGTCACAGACAGTACAGCATTTCGAAGCACCGGGCAAACTTCTCCCTCGTATGCGTGCATACGGACATCCCGAATTGAATTCATCCCAATTCCGAACGCAAGTCTTGCGTTTTGCGAAAACCTTTGGATGTAAGTGGACGTGCGTGTACTCACGTGCGTCTGCCTATTTGCCCAAGCATTGACGCAAGACAAGCTAAGTGTGAAGCGTCCTTTAAGAAAAATCCTGCGTCTGCCACTAACTTAAGCAATCTCCTTCTTTCCCGTGGAAAGTGATTTTTGACAAGTTCCCCACGAGTAGCGCTGGAATCATGGGCGTCCGCTCCCAGGGGCAAGGGGGGGCACTTGCCCCCCCCCCCCCTCCCCTGGAAATAGGGCATGGCAATTTACTGGTAGTACTATACAAGAAATTTAATGTACTTCATGTGGAAATCTCTTCTTCCGTAGCACCATTTAGACCAATCTTGCCACGCAATATGAAACATCCAAACGAGTTAAAAATTCAACTCAACCCTTCTGGTCCAGAGGTTCCGGTAACACTACTGCTCTACATAACATCGCGCCAAAGCTGAAGATCGTACAACATGGAATGCAAGTATCCCAGGCTGAATGGCTATTTCACGTAATTTTTGCAGTTACATTGTTATTTTTTTTATAACCAAGGTGCCTGTTGTTTCTCTTCGAGTTGAAGACCCTCCCAGCAAACAAGGCTATGTTGTACCAATGTTACAAACGTTGATTCAGCGTTATGTGTTTCAAATTGTTTGCTGGGCTGTCTCATTGTCTGACATAAGAGTTGCATAATAGGTCTACAGGTAAGGGCTACTTTGAGGCCCACAATTTCTGTCGTTGTTTTTAACACATTGGTGAC